CTATGATATGATATACATTTTTGTGATATATTGTTTTTATGTTAACAGTTGTTTTTAATAACGTTTCTTTAATTATATGACGTTAAGAGTTTATTGTTCAAGACTGCTTTCCTAGCCATCTGACTCTGCCATGTGGATGGGTGGGAATACGGGAATAGGGTATGTTAGCTTATCCACAAGGGAATTTGCTAGTCTTGCCATTAAATTGAACAGATCCAGCAGTAGAAAAAAAGAAACCTCACAACCAGCAAAGAAGCAACGAACGAATGGGACGTGTTCTTCAGGACCAGATATTCTTGCGCCAGCCAGACGAGTTCCTACGAGAGCAAGAGCCACAGTAGCCACAGCAAAGAACCAGAGACCTGGCATGAGATGGAGCAGACCTTGGGACTATGTCATTGAGCCAGAGCTAAGCAGTCTCTGTACAAGTTTGTTGGATAACAGGAGGGGAGCCCTATCTGACAGGACTGAGAGCTTTCTAACACTGGCCTAAAGCCACAAGGCTCAAGACTAAAGTGTCTATGAACACAGGCTGGAAGCTATCCTGGTGGAGTGCATACTGCTACTAACATGAATTATAGCCCTTTAAAATTCCCTAATATGGATCTGTGTGGTGTGTGCACTAGCACATCAGATTCTGGACACAGAAAAGCAATAAGACTGGTGTTAGGATGAGCAGAAAGAGGTGCGGGAACATTGGGGAGGGGGAGACATGTCTGACCTCATGAGAATTGGTTTTATGTTGCTGATGTTGACAGGAACAGTTGCACTTCGTGAAGTTGGTCAAAGTCAGACATGGCCCACACAGCCTTTGCTCTTCTCTCAATTATTACTTAAAATTAGTATCCTCTGGCGACTTATGTGTGACACAGTTGGGTTCCGGAGGGTAGGTTCTCTTGTTTTAGCTGAAAGTCAGGTATAATCTGGTTGGTTGTTTTTTATTTCGTTCACAATCGTGTTTGATCTGATTGGATTTACTGGATTTAGCTAATGGTGGAAGCCTCTTGTCTAACTTAATTAGGACCTGGTGGACAGGCCTTTGTCTTTAAAAGTAGGTTGTGCTCAAAGATCTCCTGGTGTTAACTGTGTTTGGGAAGAACATTCTCCTCAGTGGTACAGCACTAGTCTGTCAGTTTGCTGTACTGAGGTAACATGAGGTAACTGTGATGCTGAACTCCGTGCCACAGGTATGTCAAATGCCACAATAGTTACTCACAGTAAACAGCGTTTGGTGGAGCTCCCAGATTAAGACAGGCTTGGAAGCAGGATTGGCATCCACTTCCTAAACAACATGCCTTTGAAAACTCTAGGAGCACTAGAGAAACAACGACAGTTATAGATCAGGGTTCAGATCTTTTGTTTATAGGGTCGCTATGAATTATGCTCGACTCAATGACACTTAACAAAAACAAGAGTAGCATCTTTACTAGACACTACATGTATGTTAAGTAGGTGAGCAAATGAACTATCAGCTTCACTATGGGACAATCTCAAAGATATATTTTCTCTCATCAATCAAGACTTCTTGCTGTTATTGCCATCGAGTTGAGAACAACTCACAGGGATCCCCTATGAACAAAAGACCTGAAGCCTTTCTAGAACTATCATTGTTTCTCAAAGTTCATTGAGTTTGGCGGAGGGGTGGGGGGAGGCAGAGAGAAAAGTGCAACAATGAATGAATGAAAATCCAAAGTCTCTGTAAATTTTCACTAAAAATAATAATAAAAGAAGAAGAAGGGGGGAAAAGTTCATAGAGTTTCCAGAGGCATGTTATTTAGGAAGTGGATGCCACTCCTGCTTCCAAACCTGTCTTAAATTGGGAGCTCCACTAAACACTGTCTACCATGCGTAAACATTATGGCATGACACCCCAATGGCATAAGGTTCAGCATCACAGCCACCTCAGGTTACTTCAGTACAGCAAATTAACAGAAGAGTGATGTAACACTTAGAAGAATGTTCCTCTAAAACATAACCACCAACTTTTAAATACAAAGTCCCTCCATGAAGTCTTATTGACTTTAAATATGAAGCTTAATGATAACAACCATAAAATGAGTATAGGTAACATGAAAATAGTAGAGTATGACTTCTTCTGACTCTACAAAGGGGAACTGTTCCTAGCAACAATTTAATTCCCATAAAGTCAGACATGATTTTCCACATTCCTCCATCTACTACTACTACTACTACTACTACTACTACTACTACTAATTCCAACACCAATCTTAACTCATGCAATTTAAATCTAGTAAAATGGTGAAAATAGCTAGTCTTCTTGTGGATAGACTAAAATCCACTACTAGTATAAATACCAGGCAAAGTCAATGGTGAGGAAAGCCATTTTAAATAACAAAAGCCTTTACTTCTATGATCCTCTCAGTCATCACTGAAGAGCCACCACTACACAAGCTTAAACTTTAGCTTCTCACTTTCAAATGCATGTCAGTGGCAACTAACAGATACACTCCAAAACAATTAACAGTGTTTACACACAGGGCTAAAGAACCATGGTTACACAATGTTTAAAACAGACGTTTGCTATACTGTGTTCAAGGATAGGAAAACTCAATATTGTGGAAATGACAGTTCTACCAAAAGCAATCAACTAATTCAATGCAGTCCCAACACAGATACTGAAGCCTTTCTTTTAAGGAGCTAGAAAAGGCAATTTCCAACTCTATTTGGAAAAGAAAAACACTCCAAATAAGCAAAGACCTACTGAAAAAGAGTATTAAGTAAGGTATCGCATACCCTGATCCTAAAACCTACTACCACAGTGTAATAATCAAAATAGCATTGTACTGGTACAGCTAAAGACACAAAAGCCAATCGAATAGAATTGAGAATCCAGAAATCAACCCATCTACCTACAGTCAACTGATATTTGACAAGGAGATAAAATCATTTAAGCGAGGAAATAACAAGTCTCATTCACAGATAGTACTAGCAAAGTGGCCATCTATCTGCAAAGAACTAAAACAAGATCCACTCTTCATATTATACACAAAAACCAACTCAAGGTTGATCAAGAACCTAAGGGTAAAACTAAAAACCTCAAGGTGCACCAGGTCGGTTCCCAATAGACAGTGGTCAACAACAACCAAGCATATTAGTTAATGCCAATAATAAAATAGGCAGAAGATATGAAAAGACTCTTCACCAAAGAGGATATTCAAATGGCCAACCAACACATGAAGAAATGCTCAAAATCACTAGCTATTGTTGTTGCTGTTGTTATATGCCCACTAGTCAACTACGATTTATAGTAACTCTATGAACGACAGATGTGAACCTTGCACTATCTTATGCCACAATCATCATCTTTGACATACTCGAGCCCACTGCTACAGTTACTGTGTCAACATATTTTATTGAGGGTCTTGCTCTTTTCCTTTTCCCATACCTTTCCAAGTATTATGCCTTTTTCCAAGGACTGGCTGCTCCTAACAACATGCCCATGGTATGTGAGACAGACTCTGGTGGCCTAGTGGCAAGAAGCTGCGCTACAATTCCAAAGGCCTGCAGTTTGAGGCCACCAGCTGCTCCACGGGAGAAGGATGGGCAATCGCTTCCCATGTGATTAACTGCCTCTGAAAACCCGACCCTATAACAAGTAAGACTAATGAAATAAATTTGAAAGAAAGCCATCATATATTTATTCTTTTTATGATACCTTCTAATTCAAGTACGTACAAATAGCAGAAGTTTAATAAATGGTAATTAATCGTAAGACATTTTAGAGATCTTCAGGATATAAAAAAGAGCTTAGTAAGGAAATTTAAAAAAAATTATTACACTAGACCAAGAGTTTTAAAATAGTCATGATGAATTAGAGCTAGAAGATATAGTAATTATTAGAAATCCATCTATATGGTAAATAATACAATTAATATAACAGCTTCAGTTTTCAATTACACACGCAAAACCAAAAGAAGCAACAGCATTTTAAACACACAGGGAAAGGGTGTTCTGGTGGCCTAGTGGCAGGAAGCTGCACGGCAATCCCAGACTCATGCAGTTCAAATCTACCAGATGCTCTGCTGGAGAAGGAGGGACTATCTCCTCCTGTATCAGTCAGATCTGATTTGATAGTATACACACAAAAATAATAAAATTTTTAAAAAAACAAACCACCACAAAAAACAAGCAGGAAAACAAATAGCCCACTTTTAGTGGGCGTTCTATGGCATCAAGAAGGAATCAAATCATCACTTACTCTCCAGCAGGTTTTCAGAGGGAAGAGAATGCTCATCTTTCTCCTGCTGGTGGATCTAAACCATGTTTATTCAGGTTGTCAGCACAACTTCTTACCCCTAAGCCACCAGAGCTCCCTTTACGTGACACCAGGAAGCCTTGATTCATAGGCCTGAGATCACTGTCAGGCGGTGACTAATCCAGCAAAACATGCACATGGCCTTCTGAGGTCATAAACGGAAATGAGGCAACCAAACCTAGCTTTGCAATTCTCAAGCTATTTTGCTTACAACAATGAAAACCCTACAAACACATTTAAATATTTTCAAACCTAAAAGGTTCTCCAAAAGGAAGCAAAGTCATTATTTTCCAGGGAGAATCATTACTTCTTCTCCTGCCAAGAGTTTTCACCAGGGGATAATTCTGAAGAAGAATTCACATCGCCCTATTGTTCACCCAAGCCTGTACCTTAGTCAGGAACTCCTCCAGCTGCTCCACAAACAGCTTGGTTTGCTGCTGAATAAACTGCTCACAGGCCGATTTCAGATGACGGTCGACATCTTTTTTAGAGTCCAGATAATACTCTCTTATCTCAGGAGTGCCCTTAAAAAGAAAATGACAATGGTCTTACCACACAGGCAATGAATGCTGCTTATCCACCCCCACCAATGAAACAAACTCCTCACCTCCAACAAGAACTCTATCAAAGCATTGTTGCTGTTCAGCCTAAAAAATCTTGGAACAGTCATAGGGTTCAGGATTTTAAATGCCGCATCTGTGAAACAAAATTACTCCTCTAGTGAATATGCAGAATGTTATCAGACTAGTCTACTTACTATTTTAATGTGCACCATACACTAGGTCTCTGGCACCACAAAGAGCAGTTCATTTCCACCAACTCCCCTCAGGAATAAGGACCAACGATGGCTACAGGATCTAGACATAACTCACTTTCCAAGTCTAAATTTTATAAAACATAATGCATGGTGAATAAAGAATAAGTGTGAAATACAATGGATATGATCTTTGTAAGCAAACCAACATAAAATTTAAAAAATCTAACTCTGAAAAAAAAAACACCCTGAAAAAGAGCCACCTATCTCATTTACATCGAAAAATAATGATAAATGGGAACTTTCTTGTTATGGACACCTTAAAATTGTACTGCTTTGATTACAGGGTTTTAAAAAGTATTAAAAGTAAAAAGTTTTAAAAGTATCTACTTACTTACCCAGCTTCTTTGCCAAGGTCTTGGCTGGCACAGAAATTTATTCATTTAAAGCAGAGTGAATAAACTAATGTGTCAGCCAGAAAGAAAACACCATAAGGACATATTTACCCCTTAACCTCCAGACTAATTAATATGGATGAAAAAAAAAACCCAAACAAGGTTTCATTGATGTTCAAATGCAATATGATACAATAGTTAGTTGAGAGATCAGAGGCTTCAAAAGTAAAGAAGCAAGTTATTATTAAGTGAAAGCAAGAAAAGATCATCTCTTTGCTTTATTTTGCCAGACCAGAAAAAGTGAAGCTTTAATTCATCATGTTTTACAAACATACAGAGTAGTACTTATTGCCTCTGACCCTGGTGGCAATGAAAACAGCCCTCTACTGAATACTACATACAGAGCAAAGCTTCAGCAAATGGCTTTGCTTCTACTTTTTTATATAAGCTTCCTGAAAGACTCTAAAAAATGGAATCCATAATATGGTAGCCACATAAACTTTATCACATTCTCAGGAAAACATACTTTAAACTAAAATTAGCCAAAACTCAAAGAAATTCTGTTTTATTCTACCTCTACACTAGAATCAAGTAGCTACACATTACATATTAAGAAAGTCTTCATGAAGGTCAACCCCTACCTCGTCCATAATTTATACTAGGTTAAGGACTATGCACCAGAAGCCCTGGTAGTGTCTGATGGCATGGGGCATTATGTGTTGGACCACTAACTGAAAGATTAGTGATTCAAATCTGTAATCTGCTCCACAGGAGAAAAATGAGGCAGTTTACAGCCTTGGAAGTCCAGTGAAGGGTGGTCATGAGTTGGTAATGTCTCGACAGCAATGGGGGTTTTCTGCTGTTAAGGACCATGTGCTGCCTGGTATTCTTTAAGGGTGAGCATTACCCTGTCTGTCATCTTGTATTGAGGAAAGAACAAAACTACCAAACAGGAAGCCTCTAATGACAGAATAAGTATTATACATGTGTCTGCATGTGCATAAGTATGTAAACACATATATCTGTAAATATACAATAAAATATATGTGTAATACACACACGTAAAATTTATAAGATATAGTTACATCTTAAAAATCAATTCATTCATATCTTCATTCCGTAAAGGCAGAAGCCAGACAACCTGACTAGAGTTTTATACAACAATATTACAAAGTACATGAACACACAGGCTTACTACCCAAATTCTAGCAGTAGAGAATGAAATGTATTCTCTGTGGTGAAGAGACACATGAGGAATGGAGCGCACACACTTTTTTCCAATGTGACTGTCATTGGCCATTTTGGCTCAGGTGTCTTAAATCAAGTCCATCCTGAAGAAGCACAGTAATCAGGGAACTAAATACTTGTTGTTGTTGTTGTTATGTGCCTTCGAGTCGCTTGAGACTCATAGCGACACTATGTACAACAGCCCTAAACCCTGCTCTATCCCGTGCCAATCTCACTGCCTCTGACACACCCATCCCGATTTACCCCAGTCACTGAATCAATCCACCTCATAGAGGGTCTTCCCCTTCTGCACTGTCCCTCCACCCTTCCAAGCATGATGTCCCTCTCCAAATACTTGCTAGCTTTGGGAATTCTATAGTGTTTCCTCTGAACCACAGAACACAGAAAACATTTTTACTGTCTTCTCATTTCACCCCATAAAAAAAAAAAATAACAATTACATAAATGAATGGCTTAAAGCATCAGAGCTTAATTCTGTCTTGCAAACAGCTGAGAAAAGGTAAAATGTAGATAAATTTGTAAGTAACTAAGCGTATTAAAGGAGTTATGTCATAGCCTTAAAATCTTGGAAAGCTATTTGATCTCTCACAAATCACCTTTGGATAAGCCAATCAGAAAAAAATATGTTAAAATGGACCAATCAGCATTTCTAGGATAATTACATGCCCATTACCAACTCAAAGGCCTTATGTACAAGACTATTTAACAATCTAAACCCAATACTCTAAAGTTGATTCCAATTCACAGTGATTCTATAGAAAAGAGAAGACCTGTCCCATAGTGTTGCTAAGGCTGGAAATCTTCACAGAAGCACATTGCCTAATCTTTATCACACACAGTGGCTGAGGGGTTCAAACTACTGGCCTATTAGGTAGGAGTCAAGCACTTAACCACATGGGCTTTTTTGTTAAAAGCAAAGTGATGTAATGATAACAATGCATTTCTGTACCTTCAAATATATTTTCATTCTTAATTATCTTGATAACCTGGTGAAAGATCTGGGTAAATTTCTCATGTTCATTTTAACTGCAAGGAAGCTGGAATAGAAGAGCTTAAAAACCACACAATCTAACATAAGAGTAGAGAATCCAACTCTCTCAGACTCTTATGTAAGTACTCCACCCATTTTACCCAGCTGGCTTCTGAATATCCCTGAACTGAAACTCGGCAACTTAACGTTTAAAGTCGTCCCAATTAGTTGACACAGTAAGTACAGCTGACACTCACCTATCAGTTATCTTATATAACATGTTGCATTTATGACAGTAGTAAAAAAAAAATCTACTATCTGGCTGTTTTGCACATGAGTGGCATATATGCATCATACAAGCTCTGAGGTGTGAGGAAGCTACTACAGGCTGTGCTGGTTAAGGTGATGTGTCACCTGGACGATGCCAGGATCCTCACTGGTTTGATAATTACATAATGATGTAATCTGACAATTACATAATGATCTAGTCATCTACCATTTTATTATGTGATGTGAACAGTCTCCATTTTGTGCAGTGTCAACCTTCACATAATGACCTAGTCTTTGGATTCTAATTATGTCAATAAGTGAAAGATGTGTGTACTTATTAACACGTTGCTGCAAATGATAGTAATACATCGGAAAAAAAATATGTTTCTAAGCACAGTCATCAATTTAAAAGTGTGTGGCAACATGTTAAATAAATCTTTCATTTTTAACAGATTATTATCATACATGAACAGTTTAAGAGAGGTAATAGTATGCTATATTCTGAACTACTCAAATTAAGAGTTTTATGCTCATAAAGACAACAGAGTAAAGTAGAAGCAATTAGGCTGTTGAGAGCTTAGCTTAGTTTGAACAAATAACATGCTTATTAGCAAGCACAGCATGCAAAAAAATTGCAGATGAACATAAAATAAACCTATAACCTGTGCTGACACATTCGGAAAGTCAAACATACCCAAATGTGCCAGCCAGGACAATAAGTACCTCTAGTTTTCTTGAGGTCCAGGGAAATTTCCTTAATGGTGAATTCAGTGTGAAATGGAGCAATTTGTTCACGAAGAATCAAAAGATGCTTAATTAGGAAAAGTTGGCCATCAATCGGAGTCTAAATTTTAAGACAGAAAAAAATGGATATTATCACAGATTAAAAATATATATGTAAGTATATACCACATCCATGTCATTAATCAGCATTAATCCACCCCAGTTGCTGGCCCTTACTCTAGCCTGTGACTCCACCACTCCTTGGTGGTACAATGAGCTCTCCTCCTGAAAATTATGTGAGGAATCACCCAGACAAATCGTGCTTCAAAGTCCCTACTTAGAAAATCCAAGTCAGACTAAACGCTCTACAACACCACATTCAGAAAGACAAGCCAAAACTATTCTAAGAGACAACGAAGCCAAACATCAGCACAGAAAGAAATAAAAGCCCAGGATGAGCAGGATTCTGACCCCTACAGTCTTCTAGCTTCCCTTCAGTAAGTAACATGGCTATCATCATCTAAAGCAGTTTCAAAATCCAGATAGTTGCAAATGCTCAGTCAATACAAAAACAACCTCCAAATGAAAAGTGCTTTGGGGTAACTATTCTGTACTGCCCTGCCACACAGCATTTGCCTCCTTCTCCCAGAGTCACGTCCTTCCTTTTTATCATCTCGGACCCAGCCCTAAGAGGCTGAGATCCAAACATTATGTCTAAAGCTTTGACCAAGTCCCAAATTTAGTAAACCATCCTGGCTCTCATTTCAGGAAAGGGTCTGCACATTAAGTGTAGCAAGACTAAGTTACTGCTTCTAAACACAGAATCTCATTTTGAAATACTTCCTAGGAAATTATACATTAGGGGAAAAAATCCACATCTCCTTCTGTAAGCAAAATAAACTTTACAGGCATTATTAAACAAAGTGATTCCTCCCAGGGGGCAGGTGTGTGAAAGAGAGAAAGACAGACACTATCTTTCTACCTTCTAAACAAACACTTGATCAGTTGAAGATAGAAAATCATTCAGTACTCTGTAACACAAAACATCTGATACAGGAACTACTACACATTTTCATTATTCATTCAGATTTTAATGGAACTAACTATCAGGTGGAAAAAAAAGAAGTGTAATATAGGTTGGCAGTACAATTCCTTACCACTAAGCCAACCAGAACTCCCTTTACTAACGCTGCAGAACCTAGCAAAGAGCACCATGTTACTTTATTGAAACTGTTTAACCCATCAATCCTCTATTACCTAACATAGTGCCTGGCACATACTAGGTGCTCACTGTTAAGTTTCTAAGAACTGTTTCTTAAAAATTTAAGAAAAAATTTCCAAGACATGATGTCATTATCAATGACTACTTCTTTTTTATGTATATATATATATTTAATTTTATTAATTTTAATGAACAATGACTACTTTTTAAAGCTAATAGTTAAAGCTTACCAAACTGAGGCTTCTTCATATAAACTTAACCCCCCATAATATATAACAGAATTAGCTAAAAGAAGATGGTTTAGAGAGAAGGCAAATGAAAAATCAAAAGCCTCTTTACATCTCTCTCAAAGAAAGCACCAGAGGACTTGCTTCCAAACTTTTAAAAACATTAAATTCTAATTTCCTCTTCATTATTAAAATTGCATGTTCATAATAGTTAATGTGGAAAAGAAAGGAAAAGCAAGTGTCAGCCAGCCACACTAACTGTACATATTTTCTTTGGTTTATTTTTCACTACATAGTCATATTATGTATCTGACTGGTATCCTGTTTTATTTAACTTCTACATATTTAGGCCAAATCTTAATGTTGCCCTTTTCTCTCTATAATTTGATGGCTGTGTAATATGGTACTGTATTGAATGTGCTGCAATTTCTTCAGTCATTTTCTTATACTGGACACACAGATGTTTTCCATAATTTCATGTATGTAAATACTGATTTTAGTTCAGACTGTAAAATATACATTAAAAGTCCGTCACAGACAGTGACACAGAGAGTGTCCCGTCTTTTTCCAGTCCCTGCACTGCAGCTGGCCTCCTGTCGGATGACACGTATTTCAAGCACTGAGGTAAGCAAAGCATTACTTTCATCTGTACTCTCCTTCTTGAAAAAAGAAACCTCAGAGGCCACTGGGGCAAGCAGCCTTCTGCCCTAAATTCCTTCTTGATTAAGTATTTAATCAAGAAGTAGGTGTCATGGCAATAATTTGCAGTCACATTTCCCAAGGGGCACAGTTGGCGACACTGACAATTAACTGGCTAATTTTCACCACGTGAAGTCATTCATACCATTTCAACATCTTTGTATAGACAATTATAAATTGCTACTTTTCATTAAAAATACTTTCTGGTATTCCAGGAAAACAGCAGCCCATCACTTGCTGTCACTAACTTGACAGCCATGATTTAGCCTTTCCCCTAGGAAATGAAGAGCTAAGGACCTTGTTTTACATGCAGGCAAAGTTGGCACTCTTAAGTCATTATTCAGCACTATAATCAAATACGGGCTTCTCTCAAAAGGCCACTAAATTAAGTCACGCTGAACAAACAAAACCTGTCAAAATTGCTTTACGTGTTTGTGCCTACACCTAAGGACTACATTCTACAATATTATTATAAGCAGTAAGATTTCACCGAACTCTTCATCAAACCTTGTTTTTGCTGATAGACTCTGATGCTCCCAGCAAGGACTGAATGCAAGCCGACAAAGCTTCCTGTGACAATCCTTGGAATACTGCCCTCTGGTGGAATAAGAGAAACATCAGCCTGGAGCACGTCAAACAAAAATGGAAATTCAGAAGGCTGTGAATACAGTGAAAAAATGTTTACATGTCTCATACCCACTGGATTAATCTACTGCCAGTAATATTCCTTCTAGATTGTTCTACCTCCATGCAACATCTCTAGACATCAAGTAGTTTTATATCTGCATTCATCTAAAACCTCCTACAACCCTTCAGTAAGTACATACTAAGGATCTGAGAGCCAGGCACTGAACTAGATGCTGGTAAACAGTGGTGAACAAAGCAACACAGCCTCGACTCATAGAGCCCTTAGTCCAGCCTGAGTTCATGTTATAATATGGCTGTCATGTAAATCTTTTAAAACAGTGTCACGGAAATTAATAATTAAATAGTAACTTACTCAAAGTTACTATTTAAAACAGCACAACACTGGAAATCACTGTTGTTCTCCCATCCCAGGGATTTGCCATGTTGGTGTGGCCAAGGCCTCAGTCCCCTTCCTTCCCTCTCTCCTTCCAGGACACTCAATATGGACATGAAATGGGAAGATCTCAACAGCATATCTGTTAGTCTCATGCTGACGTTACTCTTTATATTTCTTCTCCCTCTCAACAAGGCAACTACAGTAAGAAAAGTCAGGGCTACCAAGACAATAGCCTTGCCTTTAAGAAAGCTAATTATGGCATCTCAGGATCAAGACTTTCTCTTCTCCCGGTTCAGCCTTCTGTCCTTTGTCTCTTTCAAACCTTTGAGTTTTGAAAGTATAAAACATAAGCAGGCAATGACCTCCTGAGTCCCTCCTAACTTTTAATCTACAGTAAGGAACTGTACTAATGTTTGTGGTAACCATGGTTCATGCTCCCCCACAGACATTTCTGAAATCTTAGCCTGCAATCGTCACTCACAGCACCCTCAAGGACCTGGAAATAAGCTGAATGTCTTTCCAGAAGACATCTCAACAGGAGAGCAGAAAAGGTGGGACATTTAACCTACAGAAATGATCTGGGCTTCACCACTCAACAGCTACAAGTAGACAAAGGCACATCTGGTTGAATTTCAAAATCTCCAAGCACAATCCCTGGCAGCTGTGCATTTCAAAACAGATGCAGAGTGATGTGCACTGGGCAGATCCAATGAAACAACTAGGCACTATGTCCACTCTGAGGTGCAGAATACTACCATACTGTGAGGGATTATCTGCATACCCCTTTAAGTAAATGTTATTATATGATTACTGTTTCCAAAAGTTTCTTTATGTACAGCTGGAGCTGTGTCAACCAAAATAATAAGCATAAAAAAATAATTAGAACCCCTGAATTTTCAATTCTTGTGGTTCAGCAGCATATCATTAACAGTAAATAAGTGGGGACTAATCTCATCTTGACAGGAACAAGAGCCTACCATCCAACTGCAGTGATTGAAATAACTGTTACTAGAATCAAAACACAATGCCTAAATAAGCAAAATACTGTTGTTGTTGCTGTTATGTGCCATCAAGTTGCCTGCAAATCACAGCGACCCTATGTATAACAGCCATAAACCCTGCTCTATCCTGTGCCAATCTTATTATCTCCGACACACCTACCCCCGCTACCCCAAGGATGGAATCGATCCATCTCATCGAGGGTCTTCTCTCCTGCACTGTCCCTCCACCCTCCCAAGCATGAAGACCCTCTCCAAAGACTGGTCCCTCCTTACAACATGCCCAAAGTATGTCACACGGAGCTTCAGAATCCTTGCCTCCAAGGAGCAGCCTGGCTTCATCCTCTCCAGGACGAACCTGTTTGCTCTCTTAGCAGTCCATGGTATATTCAATACTCTTCTCCAACACCACAGCTCAAAAGCAGCAATTCTCCTTCTATCATCCCTAGTCATTGCCCAGCTCTCTAATGCATAGCAAATGCTAATTATTATTTCGATGGTTTGAAACACATATAATTCTGTTTATCAAGGATACTGATTTCAATTTCACAGAAAAATAAAGTACCTGCATTAGTACTAAATATTTTAATAGTAATAAATATTACAACTATGTGGCTTTAGATTTACCATTTAACCATTTACCCTTTTATCCACTCATTTATTAATTAAGGTAGATGAATTAATCAGCAGTTTTAAACATATCTGTAATCAAAGTCCTTGCTGAAAATCAACAGAAGCCCTTCTCAGAAAGATACAAAATATACACATATAAAATTTTATCACACAATTTCAAAGTGTTCACGGACTCTCTGGAGTTTATCAGTGGATTCTAAGGTTCTTCAGAATGTTCAGGTTAACGATCTTTAAATTAAGCTGATCTTAAAATTACCTCCTTGTCTAAGTCATTATTCTATGGAGACTAAACAAAATACTCTTCCAAGATCTTATAATTAAAAGAAACCATACAAATCTATTTTTTTAAATGAAAGATAATGCAATTTAAAGTTACAAGAACTTCCCCACATACATCTATGCATCTGTATAATTTGGAGAGGCAGACAAGAGTTCTTCGAACTGTAGGGTACCACATTCCATGAAGATCTGCTGGAGAAATTGTAGTCTGTGGTCTAGGATTGAGGGAGTCCGTAGAACCTAAAACCCAAAAGGAAAAGAGACACTTCATACACATGGATGTCGGTCATAAACTAAACGGTATCAATAAATTGTTCTCATTAGCTATCAACAAATAGAGAGCAACAATTTCTTCTAGTCTCCCCACTAACCAAGAATTCTATAAGAATCTAACAGTGGCAGGTCAGACACAATAGGTAAGAACATGCATCATATGTGCAATCAGTCTCAAACTGCTTTTCCCTAAGTGTGATCAATAAATCTTCACAAAATAAATGAATAATACTTTGTAGCCATTAAAAAGGAGGAAGATCTATTATGTGGTCAGATGAAAGCCAAGTGTGGGAGGTCGGAGTGACAGGAAAACAAAGCACTGTGAACAAGATGTATCTAAGCTGGTTTGTCTGACAGTCCACCACCCATGCTGAGTTGCCACCCAAGCTGAGTCGTATTGCTTAGAAGCCCTGCATAGCCAATTCTAAGTGGCCAACGCCAGAGCCCTCAAGCTTCTGAGGAGTCTAAGGAGTGTAGGCAGGGCACAGCTGAGCAGAGAGAAATCTTTCTAAGGGAAGAACAATCATTTTTGAACCAAACAACCAAGTTTCAAATAAGCCTTTTAAGTGGAGTGGCATAACATGTACAGGGTTTATATATGAACTAGGTCTTGTAAGAATTAGGAAATTTCAGTCATTTTATGAGTGTGATAAGAAATGCCCTTTGAATTACGGCGCTCATGAAGAGTACTGAATAGACCACAGAATGCCAAAAGAACAAACAAAACTGCCTTGGAGAAAGTGTAGTCAGAGGGACATCCTTAGAAAGAAAGTTGGTAAAATGTCATCTCACATACTTCATGCATGTCATCAGGGTTTACGAGTCCTTGGAAAAAGACAACACACTCGGTAGTGTAGAGGGTCAGCAAACACACCTTCGGTGAGATGGAGTGACTGCACCGTGGAACTGAGCAGGGATTATGAGGATGGCACAGGTTAGGGCAAATGTCTATCTGTTGGTCATAGGGCAGCTATCAGCCATAGCAGGGGAAGGGGCTTAATCATAGGGTCACACAATATGATGGGTGGAGGGAGTGGTGGGTAAAGGTAAGGGGAAAGATCCCGTGTGAAAACAATGTATACGAACTTTGTAAGTAAACCAGTACAAAATAAAAATTTTACAAAAGAAAAACACCCTTATTTTCTACATGAAAAATAATGTATACAAACTTTCTAAGTAAACCAGCATAAAATTAACATTTTACAAAAAAAAAAACAACAACAACACCCTTATTTTCTACATAGGTGCAAAGTATGATTAATATGATTTAAAAAAAACAAATAAATACATAAATGAGAATAAATACATCACAGATTCACACAAAGAAACAAAAAAATACTCATTGCTGTTGAGTCAAAAGCAACCCAGAACTGACCCTCTAGCAGATTTTCAGAGGTTTAAATCACTTGAAAGGAGAATGCTCATCTTTCTCCCCAGGAGCAGCTGGTGGCTTCAAACCACCTGCCTTTGGGTTGGCAGTGCAACTCTTTACCTTCTATGACAGCAGGGCTCTAAACACATAGAGGGTGAAAGAAATGTTGTCTTAAATCTAGGTGATAGGTATGGGTGATCACCATTCATTTTATCATTCTTCCTATCTTTCTATTTGAAGTTTTGTTCAGTAACAACAAAAAGGCAAGTTTTAGAAAAATATACAAAATAGAAATTTTTATTTTTAAGAGATCAGCACATAATAAAAGATCTGGAGGTTATGAAGTAGATTGTGATGGGTTGTGAAAAGGTAACAGAAGGGATGTTGAGGGTTAGTGTTTTCACTTAATAATAGTTCTATAAGCTGAATTTTCTTCTTTACAAAATAATATAATTTAAAAAAACTCTTAAGACTTCTTAAACTTAAATACCAATTTGATATGGTGTTTCTTAAAGATGGAGAAAAAAATTACAAACCATTATCAAAGAATATTTAGGTGATTAAAGATCTCAAGAGTTCTGATCAAGATCATGCTACCTCAGGGCTAAAAGAGGACAGTTATATAATCTTCTTAATCACAACCAAGCACCCTGAGGAAATGAGCTGAGTGGTTGGTCTTAGCCCTTTGGGATGATAGTCTTGGGGGCTATCAAGGTCAACTGGCGTAACAGAGTTCACAAACACATCCTACTTGAATAGGTAGCAACTAGGATCATAAAACCTCAGCAGCAGCCATCAGGGTGCAATCACTGGTAATTCCTTGTCCAAGACAAAGAAAAGGGAAGAAAAGCAAAGATGCACAGAAACAGTGTCCAAAACGAATGAACTACTCAAAACTCAACTTCCACAACCCTGAGACCAGAATCAGATGAGACCTAGTCACCACACTGCTGACCACTCTAAAAGGAAGGTCCTCAGTAGAGTGGACAAAAACCAAGGAACTAAAAACAAATAAACAAACCAAAAATCCCACAAAAATAGCCAGACTCAATGGTATGACAGGCTCTGGAAGAATCCCCAGAACTACAGCTACACTCCACTGGGTCAACTTTCAGTCAAACAATAAGATGAGGAGTAACAGCAGGGAGGACTCTCTTGGAATAATTAACCACATAAGAGCAAAAGGACAGTATCTGTCCAAGGATAGAACTTTAAAAAGCAGAAAAAGAGTAGGCTGGAAAGATTAATAAAAAGAGAAATTACAGGGAGGAGCTGAGAACAATGCACATACATTGTGAACATTGTATTAATGCTATAAAACAAAACACGAATGGTTGAATAGAAAACCAAGCTGTTTTGTACACTTCCATTAACACTGCAATAGTAAAAGAACTACTTTTACACACAGAAAAAAAGATTATGTTGAAGATCTTTCCTTCAAAACAAGGAGCTAATAAAAAAATATCTGCTCCCACAAAGTCGTGTAAGTACTTTAAAGCCAGAGGTCCACCTCTTTGATTTGCCACATTCTCATTTAACAGCTGACCAGGGAAAATTTACTCACAGTAGAAGCGAAGTGCATGCTGGCTGTCTTTCCAAAGAGCACGTGCTCCAACAGCATAGCTCCTCCATGCCCCTGGAGGTCTCCCCTGTACCTGCCCCTGGGAACCTCCCATCTGCCCTCATACTTCCTGTATCTAGAAAACAAACACTATGTTTTCTTCAGGTACTGACAGTCCTCTGCCAAGTTGCCCGACAGCTGGGTTTAGTTCATGAGCATCCATTCACGGAAAGCCTCTTTTGGAGACTTCTCATTCTTTCCCTTCCCATACACAACAGAACCATAAGAAGTAACTAGACTCCTTCTCTCTCTTTTTTTTAATGTTCCCATTTCCATCTGACTCAGAGCCTTGCTTTCCAGCCCAAATTCTAACATCACACTGAGCAATATCGATTAAAAAAACCAATTTTTAAAAAAGTTCACTGGGGGGAAAAAGTGTTTAAGGAATAAAAATTCTTTTTAATGATGTCTTATTTAATTAATATAGCCCAAAATCATTTTAGTAAGTAATCCATACATATGTACGGAGACAATTTCCATTTTCTTTATGTCTTTGAAATCTAGTATTTATCCTTTCTCACCACATCTGGACTAATCTCATTACACATGCTGGTACCTACTGTATTAAAATAGCACTGAAGTACCTTAAAAGGAGCACTGATGGTGTAGTTCATGGGGAGCTGCATTGCTAACCCAAAGGCCAAACTTCTCTCCTGGTTTGACTTCAAATCCACCAATGGCTCTATAGGAGGAAGATGGGCAATCATCTCCTGTGCAACTGACAGCCTCTAAACCAATGGAAGGCCACCTATGACTTGGTTCCGACTAAACAGTAATGAGTCAGTAAGTAAGTAAAGCTTCTTAAAAGAAATGCCGAGTAATCTGCTCCCAAAGATCAGCTGCTGCAAACCCCATTTGTACCGCCTCACTACCCACAGAGCAGATCCCCTCAGCTGTTTCACATGGGCATTGCTCAACATTCAATTAGCACCTACATCTAGGAGTCATCAAATTCTACCAATTCCAGTTCCTAACACTGTCCCTCATCTACACACCTCTCTCCAGCTCTATGTCAACATCATGGTCCAAACCATCTTTATCTTGCGAATAGAAAAATACAAGTCTCCTCAGTGCTGCCAATAATCTTGTTGTAATGTCAGTCACGGGTCAAACAACAGGTTTTACAGGGAAAGGAAAAGCTCTCAAGGTCAGACTCAGCAAGTACTCTGGTCTCTCATTAACTCCTGAAGGGGTAAACTAGGGCCAAGTTTGCTGAACACAGTAGGGTTTCTGTTTCAAAGGAGAAATTTCATTCTCTGTGGGTCCTTCTTTCTTGTCAGCAGGTGAGTCTGTCAGATGGGGAAATTATAGCAGCCTGCATTCCAGAGACTCCAAGTCCTCCATGGACTGTTTCAGTGAACTGGAGTAGCACCTTTACAGCTGTGAAGAGGGGAGGGATTGCTCTACATTCTATCGAGCTCGCTGTCCAGGTAACTCACGAGTATCCAAGGTGATTCAACATGTTTGCTCCCTGCATAATGTAAATCTTTGCCTAAGCTATCACATGTTTCTCTAATAATGTATCCTAGTCACAGTCATTCAATTGATTTACAAATTGTAAATATAAAACAGCTGACTGGCTAAAAGCTCAAAGACAATGAGATTCACATAAGACTATCACCATCAGGTCTGCACCTTCCCTCCTTACAACTTGTGCCCAAACCACTCGAATCCTCCATAGCAAACAAGTTCTCCACACCTTCCTTCATGGCTATTCTATCTACCTTAAACAACCTGCCTTTAGGTGGCTTGATCACACTCATATGAATAACAAATGGCTGCAGCTTTTAGATGTCACACTTCTCATTGAACCCACCACTCTGTATTCAAAACTCAACTCCCTTTGTAATTCTGATGTTCCTCTTCCATGGTCAAATAATGGCCTGTGCACCCTACTGAATTACCCTAGGCCTTGTCAACCTCCTTATAGGTCAGTGCCTCCACCGATTTTCCCGGGACCTAGATCTAGCACGTCACCACTGTACCACTGAAAGCCCTCTCTTGGAAGCTTCTTCTCTCATTTCCAACATATCATGGAACCACAGACTCTCCCCCTCCCCACCCTTTGTCACCTGACTGTGGCTTCTTCAAAGACATGAGCTGTTTTTCACGTCTGGGATCCAACACGTTCTCAAAAAAGGTTTTTTAAATGAATATATCTTAGAAGATAAGACATCATTAACATACCAGATTTTTTTAGACTGTTAGACTCTGCTTCTTCTAACTGAACATCTGAAAACGAAGCTTCTGAGGGTACTTTCTTCTGCTCCTCTTTTAAACTCTGTGCAATTTCCTGACAGAAACAGAGAAACCAGGAGGAGCATTAGAATGGAGTGTTCAGCCGGGTTTGGCAAGACAAACATGTTGTTTCTACAAAGTAACGAAAGTGCTAATTAAGAAATAAAATAGGCTAATGAAGAGAACTATACAAAAGCTTAAAAGGGAGTGAAAGCTAACTCAGTATGGGATGTCTATTCTCATAAAACACCCACACAAGCATGTCACCTAATTTCAGAACACTCTGCTGAAGGTCAAATATACAAAGCTCATGTAAGTAGCCTATTTCCAAACTTTAATTGCTCAAATCATGTATTCAAATTTAAGGCTAGACATATTCTGAAAGTCAGAAATGCTCTTTTTATTCAAAGATATAATCAATTCAATAACAGGCTTTCTCTTTAAATGAGAATAACTATTAAAACTTAAATGAACTGTATTGAATTTGATTCTAACTCAAAGCTACCCTCCATCTAGTTTCTGGGGCTGTAAATCTCTATAGGAAGAGACTACCCATCTTTCACAGAGCAACTAATGGATTCAAACCACTAATTTTTCAGACAGCAGCCTGACAACTTTATATACTACACCACCAGGGCACCTTAAGAAGACAATGAAAATTAGAAGGCACTGCTAAAAGAGATTAAAGACTACTTAAGTCCAAAGATGCTCCGCCTTCAAGACTTAATATTCTTACAGTGCCAACACTCTATAGACTCAACACAATCCCAATCAAAATTTCAATAGTCTTTACAAAACAAGGGGGGAAAAAAATCTCAACTTTAAATAGAAAGGCAAGAGGTCCTGAACAGCTAAAACAAAATCCAAACAGACAAATAAGGTAGAAAGACTCAAACTTTCTGACTTTAATAAAATATATTAAGAAACTCTGGCTATCCCAAAGGTCATAGAAATTTTGTTGGCCCAGGTTGGCATATCCCAAGGTTTAAAACAAGCATACCTACTACCACGCATTTCTCAACCTGAACACTAACATAAATTAAAATGCTGACAAGAACGTGAATGAATTAGAATGGATTAATTTCTTTATCTGTCAACTGGGTGGGTTTAGCAATTACTTCACCTAGGTATCAATGAGCATATCTACTGCCCAGCTCCTAGTTTCTAATACCACTCTAAGACAAAAAGAAACAAGAGTTCCTAGGAGAAATGAGCAAGTGGAGGAATGGGACAGGAAACAGACAAGAGTATTATCCCAAAATACCAGGGGAAAAGTACTACACAAAAAATCAAAAGCCTACACTGCTGAGGGTATGTCAAAGAGTAAAAACCAAATCAAAGAGCCCCCAGTGGCTAAAGCTGGAACGATCTGAGTAACAAAACAAAACAGCATTGGATTACAGCCCAAATATAAAAAAGACATCCATGAGTCCACACTGTTATAAAGAAATGACTGCATAATAATAAATATATAGAGAAGAAGACATAAATCTCCCTTGCAGAAAACTCCCAGATTAATTTATGTAGACATTCCCCATCTACAGGCGGGGAGCCACTCCTTATGTGGGGACCACATACTATGACTTCATGTCAAAGAGCACAGCATAGATATAGAGGTAGGGGGAGGGAAGAAAATTTAACAATGGAGAAAACGGAAAAATACTGCTTTTGTCATATTCTTGACATGACGATGAAAATGGCACTTTACTTCCATGGTCTTCCTTCCTGAACCTCAGAACTACAGACTAAGCAAGAGGAAAATATATTCCATTCCAATAGAGGAGCAAACTATGAAATACTTAACCAGTATTCCACAAATTCTTAGTCATCAAACACAGAATCTGAGAAACTATCACTGCCAAGATCTGCCTGAGGAGACATGGAAACTAAATACAAAATGGTAACATGAATTAAATACTAAAACAGAAAAAATACTAGGTAGGATCTAAAGAAATAAAACTAAACTATGGATTTTAGTTAATAATAACCTATTAATATTGACTCATTAATTACGGCAAAGCTTTACCACAGTAGTTACCACAGTAATGTAAGATGTTAACAGAATAAATTATGTGAGGTATATGGAAACTCTATTTATTACTTTCTTAAATTTTCTGTAAGTCTAAAAACGCTTATTTAACAAAGGAAGTTGAAGTGTGCAGCATTCAACAGAGCAGTCTTTAAAAAAAATGGAAAATATCTCAGACATACTTTGTAACTTAACAACAGAGATGACCACTTGGTAACAAACCATATCCTAATATTAGAGCAAGAAGAGGAGGCCAAATAAGGAAGCTTAGCTCCGTCATGACAAATTACTGGGGGATGCGCATCTCTAGGGAAAGCTTACCTCCATCATGACTAACTTCTCGGGGTAAGCTAAATCCCCTGGAGCTGGTTTGTAGCCAGTGATGTCAGACTGAATGTAGATGTGGGTTCGGTAGACCAGTCGCTCTTGCACATCTTCCAACATCTGCTTCACACCAGCTGCAAATGCCCCTAATTGTCCAGCTGACAAAAACCAAGTGCAATTGTCCTTTAAATTCAGAAAATTCTTTTCAACAAGTAAAAATATTACTAAATTGTTCAACAATAATATGAAATATTTGATGCACTGACTACTTCAACAGGACTCAAATGTCCTTGGGTAAAAAGTAATTTAAAGTAAATGTCTCTTACTTTCTTAAAATTGAGAAACAAATTTGCCCACACAACTCTTCACTGAAACTCAGATTATTTTAATTATTAATATGAATAATAAAATTTAAAATTCTAAAATGTTAGGTGCTTTAAAAAAACTGACTTGTGCTTTCTACGAAGATGGCATCGAAAGCAAAGAAGGAAGCCCCTGCCCCTCCCAAAACTGAAGCCAAAGCAAAGGCATTAAAGGCCAAGAATGCATCCTGAAGGGCACCCACAGACAAAAAAAAAAAGATCCACACATCACCCGCCTTCTGGCGGCCGAAGACGTTGAGACTCCGAAGGCAGCCCAAATACGCCTGGAAGAGCGCTCCCAGGAGAAACAAGCTTGACCACTATGCCATCATCAAATTTCCCCTGACCACTGAGTCAGCTATGAAGAAGATAGAAGATAACCACACACTTGTGTTCATTGTGGATGTCAAGGCCAACAAGCACCAAATTAAACAAGCTGTAAAGAAGCTCTATGACACTGATGTGGCCAAGGTCAACACTTTGATTAGGCGTGATGGAGAGAAGAAGGCCTATGTTCGACTTGCTTCTGACTATGATGCTTTGGAAGTTGCCAACAAAATTGGGATCATCTAAACTAAGTTCAGCTGGCTAATTCTAAATATAAATTTTTCTCAAACACGCACACACCAAAAAAAAAAAAAACCAAAACCTGACTTGTGTAAGCTCATGTTGCTAGCTTCTAACCAGGCTGAGAGATAACTAGGACAGGTTATTATAACTATTATACAAAAATAGCTTCACAGATGTTATGAATGTGCTAATAACATCTTTACAAAGAAAGATAAGTAAAATGGATTGTATATAAATCGTATTTCTTCATCTCTAAGATACCTTTAGTGTTAACACACATCAGTAATTCATTAGCAGTTTTCTAAGACCTGAGAGACTGGAAACATTGCATAATCACATAAAAAATTCTATTAACTAAATATTATCTTCAATTCATAATTAGGAATTCATAATCAATTGCAGTCAAGTGTACACCTTAAAATTAACTAAATGTAGCAGAATAAGAAAGTCTGGAAACATTAGCAGGCCTACAAAGTCAGTAAGACAATCACTTCCACCAGTAAAATGTAGTGTATTGCTTTTAAGTATTGTTGTTGTTAAGTACTATCATGTAGGAACCAACTCATAGCTGACCCTCTAGCAGGTTTTCAAGGCAGTAAATCTCATGGGAAGAGACTGTCCATCTTTCTTCCTCAGAGCAGCTGGTAGACTCTAGAACCTCGTGTCTGAGTAGGCAGTGCAACTCCTCACCACAAAGCTACAGAAGCTCCTTTAAAAGTATCATTGGAAAAATGTATTCAATAAAGCAAAGCTGTTCTAGATAACCACTTTTCTTTTACTTTGTAATTTAAATTGTTCTTGTTGTTGTCTACCATCAATTTGGAACAGACCCACAGTTAACCCTCCAGTGGGTTTCCAGAGGCACCAAGTCACACGGGAAATTGTTCATCTTTCTCCCGTGGAGAAGCTGGTGAATTCGAACTACATACCTTTGAATTGGCAGCAAAATTCCTTACTAATCCACCAGACCTCCCTAATAACTACACATGTATTTTAAATATCTGCTTTTTAATCAAGAGTGGACATCACATTTGACTATAAATTCTAGTAATGTTGTTGGGTGTCATCAAATTGTGACTCATAGTGGTAGCAAAGTCTAATTACCAATTGGGTTGGCTTTAATCTTTACTGAAGCAGATTACCAAAAGAACTCGAAGCACCTGCTGCAGGAGACCAGAGATTACCTCTTCAATATGGATTACATCCCAAAATCCAGAAAACAAAAATTCTAACCACTGGGTCAATAGACCACATCATGAGAGATAGAGAAAAGATTAACGTTTTCAACAATTTCATTTTACTTGGACACACAACCAACAACCATGGTAGCAGCAGTCAAGAAATCAAAAGACTCGGAGAAAATCTGCTGTCAAGGACCTCTCCAAAGTGCTAAAGAGCAAGGGTGTCAGTTAAAGACTAAAGTGCATTAATCTAAGCCAAGATATTTTCAATTGCCTCCTACACTTCTGAAAGTTAGACAATGAGTAAGAACAAAAGAAGGAAAATTGATGCCCTGGAGTAGTGTTGGAGAAGTGAACTGAATACTCCCTAGACTATCAAAAGAACAAACAAGTCTGTCTTAGAGGAAGTGCAACCAAGTGCTCCTTAGATGCAAGGATGGTGCAACTCCATCTCACATACTCTGTCAGGAGGGACAAGCTCTTGAAAAAGAGACATCATGCTAAGAAAGGTGGAGGGTCAGGGCAAGAGAGGAAGCCCCTCAACAAGATGCACTGATACAGGGACTGCAACAATGGGTTGGAGCGTGTCCGAGATCTTGAAGATAGTACCGGATAGGGCAAGGTTCAGGTCTGCTATTCATAAAGTTGCCACAAGGCACAGTTGGCTTGATGGCACCTAACAGCAACAACACCCAAAGAGACACTGGGTGCATTTCAATTGCCAAACAATCAGTTAGTAGTCAAGCGTTAAACCATTTGGCCACCAGGGCTCCTTATTTTGGTAATCATGTACCAGAAATTCTTAACCTTTAGACTTCAAATGCCAGAAAGGGACTTAACTTTTTTAATTACTCATCTTGCCCAAATTTTAAATTTCTTTCCCCATTTGCACCTTCGTTCAGAGTAACATACAATTTAATTTAAAAGAGGGCAGGGCAATCAACTCAGGTTTCAAAAAAATTAAGTACTTTTTAATGAGGGAAGAATCTAATCAATGTTATTCTAGCTCACTGAGTCACAAACATAATTAAATTTTAAGTTACCATTTTTACTTATCATTTACCATTGTTCTGTACATGATCTTCAAGCACTTCATTTTTAAGAATACCGCAAAGTTCTGATAGAGTCTCTAAGTGAATAACATGAATGATCAGTGGCCTGAAGACATCATACAACGATATGCACAGTTTCTCCAAAAGTTCACTAAAATGAAAGAAGAAAAAGCATGGTTACTAGGAGTAGCCTTTTCTGGATTCTCTCACAGTGTTAGAAGGCTCATTGATTTCTTACAACCAATAAAAATAATAACATCTACAAAGAAACAGTGACTGTGGAAATTACTGAAAAGGTCAAAAAGTAATTCTGTAAACTTTTTTTCCTTCAAAACCTCAGAATCAACAATCAATCCTGAGCAGTCAATTCTAATTAGCTATCACCAAGCAAAAGACAAAACTCAGTCAAAACTGTTTACTTCAGTAGTATTTCTGCTTATTTTCTTTCTAAAACAATAAAACTACCCCAGTATGTTTCACTATGCTACTATATTCTACTTTACTAGAAATTAGATGGCATCAATTTCCCTGAAAAATAAAAAAAAAAAATCCAAATTTGCAAGTATGTATAGATTTAGACAAGCAAATTCAAAGTACTTGGGAACTATTTTGAAAAATTTTAAACATTTGAAAAAAATATGTTTTCTATGGTGCTGAGATTTTCAATGGTACACTTGTACATAAAATATTCCCTTGCAATTGGCCACCTCAACAAAAGGACATCATGCTCAGAAGGGTGGCAGGACAGGACAGGAGAGAAAGACCCCGGATGAGATGGATTAATACAGTAACCGGGGCAATGAGGGCAGGTGTGTTGGAGATGGAAGACTTCAAAGCTATTGTACTAAGGGTTGCTATGAGTTGCAGGCGAATCAATGGAACATTTCAAAAGTCAAAACAACCGATATGAATAACTCAAAAGCAGTGTCAAGAGATCTGAAAGATATTCATAAAAAAAAAAAATAAGGGTATTAGGTAGTATTCATATCCTTAAGTACTTTTCAGTAATTATTATGTTCCATTGCGTTGGAAAGAACTCATAGCTGACCCTCCAGTGGCTTTTCAGAGGCAGTATATCACAGAGGAAGAGCCTGTCCATCTCTCTGCCGCAGAGCAGCTGGTGAGTTGAACTATACATGCCTTTGGGTTGGCAGTGCAACTCCTTACCACTAAACCTCTAGAATTCCCTTTTCATTAATTAGAATCATGTAATTTAGCTAAAAGGAATTACTAGTGAAAATAAGGGGATCCAGATTCCCAAGACTTCATTTCCTATGTAGGATTCTTAGCATTACATCACACGGTGTCCGCAAGCATACTGAAAAGCAATAGGAAGGCATATTGAGTCTTTAAATTACCCATTCATTTTGAGAAAATAACCACTGTCCTACCCAGCAATATTCTGTATAAACATATATATACACACATATATACAAACAAGTTAAAATTCTCTGCAGTTAATATATATAAAATTATCCATTATGGTTATTAACAAATTAAACCTTAACAACAAGAATTAGATTCCAGTTACCACCTACTCTAGTTTTGATGTTGGTTTTGTGAAAAATTCATTGTAAAGCTGGTGTTCATCCTGGCACACGTGGACCATAAATGCACAGCCACTGCGAACCTGCCATGAATAAACAAGTACCACAGGCAGTTAAAGACACGACGATTCCAGCTCTCATGAAATAAAGTACATTGTCTTTGTAAAGAGATTTTTCCTATGTATTCTTAAATACATTAAAAAAACAGAAAATGGTAGGTTTTGAAAGCCTTATTAGAGAACAGAAAGTGGTTGCTTTTCAACAAGTTACTACACAATGAACCTGAACCTGGGATGTGTAGCCCATGCAACACCACGCTCTCCTATAGAGCTACATCTCCAGGCCCCGTGTCACTACATAATGGCCAGAACTGTTCGTGGTTTTTATGTTCTTCTTTATGCATTGTTTTCTAAGCTCTTGACAATCAACAAATGATTTTTCCAGACAAAAAAGTACCCTTTTAAAAAAAAGCCTTTATTTATTTTCTACAGTATACATTAAAATCACATCAAATAAAATAGCACTTTTACAGTAATTTAAGCTAAAATTATTGATATAAACTCTCATACTCTTAAACTTCATTTTTAAATAGTCTTCATTTGTGAATATTTATAGGAAAAATATATGAGGATGAGGATACTCTGCTGAATAAGAAACTGCGTTATTGTTGTTAGATGACCATTGAGTAGCGTATGACTCAGTAAACCTATGAACAACAAATCTGAATCCTGTCCTGTCCTGTGCCATCCTCACAGTCTCTGACATATTTGAGCCTATGGCTGAAGCCACTATGTCAATCCATATGGTTGGCGGTCTTCCTCACTTTCACCAACTCTTCACCTTTCCAAGCACGATGTTCGAGTAACAGCCCCTCTTAGCAACATGCCCAAAGTATGGCAGATGAAGCTTCACCATCCTTGCTTTTAAGGAGCATTCTGCCTGCACTTTTTCCATGACATATATGTTTTATTAGTAGTACAGGGGATATTCAGCACTCTTCTCCAACACCACAACTTGAAACCATTAATTCTTCTGTCATCCATATTCACTGTCCAGCTCTCAGAGGCATAAAAAGTGATTGAAAAGACCATCATGGCCTTAATCAGGCACACATTAGTCTTTAAATTGACATCAGTGTTCACCAGTAATTTGGAGAGGTCCCTGACAGCAGACTCACTCAAGGGTGTCAGAGATGATGAAGATGGCACAGGATAGGACAGGATTTGGGTATGTTATTCATAGGGTCACTATGAATCACACTTGACTCAATAACACCTAACAAAAGCCAAGTATGACAAATCTGTTATATATAACTGCATGAAAAATTCTTTACTTCTGCTGATAGAGGATCTGTTAAGGACTGAACTATATGCCCCCCAAAAATCACAGTTGAAGTCCTAATCCCTATGCCTGTGACCTCATTTGGAAATAGGTCAGTTGCATATGTATTAGTCAAATTAAACTGAGGTCATTAGCATGGGCCCTAATCTCTTTATAACTGGTGTCCTTTAAAGATGAAAAGCAGCATACAGGGAAGAACGTCATGGGGCGATCGAGATAAAAACTGAACTGATTGCTGTCAAAAGCCAAGGAAAGACTGAGGACAGTGGAAAATGAGCAGGGCCAGGAAAAGATAGTACACCTTTGGACTCAGAAGAAGTATGGCCCTGCTAACAAAAGGGGAATTCCAGCTTTTAGACTCTAAAATAGACAATAAGTTTCTGTTATTTTAACCTGCCAAGTCTGTGGTAATTTGTTACAGTGACCCTAGGAAATGAACACAAGATTTAAAACTTATTTACCCAGGTATAACTCCTGTGGTATCAAAAAAGCTCAAAAGAAAGTTTAACATTAAGCCAAAACAAACAAAAACTTACCAAGGCACAATGGTCTCTGTTATTCTGGCTGGTTAATTCTGTTACTGTACAAGTAATACTAGGGCCCAAGAGAAGCTCCCGCTGATCAAGGTAACACTGGTGTATGTCATTTAGGACCTGCTGGTATCTGATGGGAAGTGAATAAGATTAGCATATAAAATACTGATATCAGGTACAAATCACCCCCACTTTTTTTTCCCCAAAAGCTCACTTTGCATCAATTCATTTTCATGACAGATACATGTTAGTACCTGTTTTCACCAATCCAAAGACATTCAAAGATGATTTTTGCTTTTCCAAGAAAAGGTGAAAAATAAAGAAACCAGTGTTCAGTATTTGTTCTGCTGTGAGTCTCTGAAGAGACAGAGGCAATAGCAGGGCAGCATGCACCCTGACCAACAGGAGTGCTGCCGCCAAGCTTCTCCCCAAAAGGTAACTGCAGGAGCAAACTGCCCAAGCTTTCAACTGTCTGGGATTATCTGTTAGTGTTGCTGGAGGCTTCATGTGTCATTTCATATGATTCAATAGGTTGCTCTGGGGTCTGAAAATGTTTAAAAAAAACCCAAACTCATAAAAATTAACCATAAGTGCTTTTTGCTTCATGCCATTTTGCCCTATATTTCATAGGAAATGGTCTATTTTTTGATAATGAGAGCAATGTGTATATAAGTCAAACCCAATGTAAATCCCAAAACAGCTTCCCAAACCTCTAAAGCTATATGGTTGGTACTTTCTCATTTGCCCATATTAAATACTGTTGTTGTTGCCACTATGTACTGACAAATCAGAACTGACTCATAGCCAAAGTTAATTATAATATTAAACATTAGAATATTTATATATAAAAAAAAACACAACCAAGCATAATGACTCTATGTCTCCCCAAAGTATACATCTTCTAAGAGCAGAAACTTTAATTAGATCTGCCAAATGATAAGGAAATTCTGCTCAGGAGAAAAGGACCACCATGCAAACTCACTAAGTTCGATCGAGGACCTTGCTCATCAAAATGAGGATGTGTTAACAGGAAAAAAGTCCACAGAGGACACAAAAGAATTGCTCAGAAATATAAGGACTCTGACTAGATTTGGACAAAGAATTTCAAGAGAGTAGATTTGGAAAATAAAGAACGTCTGCATACTCACTCAGGTATTTTTTCAGATCGCTGTTCTATTTGTTCAATAAGTGTCTGCACAATAAAGAAAAATAAAGAAAATTTATCTGCTTTACTCAGAATTGAAATTTCTAATAGTATCCCATGTTCATCAAAAAGTAAAATGATCATAAAAAGAATCCATAATGCCAAAAAATGAAAGAACCCGAGTTAAAATGCCAGTATTTTTCTTTGTTTTTATATGTACATACTTTTTCTTTTAAAAAAAAATGTAGACTATCTTATACACTCAGCTGTATGTTCTGGGGCTTTTTTCCCCCGTTAACACTGTATTATTTCTATCACTAAACTATTTTCAATATTAGATGAAAATATACAGACAGCCTGAGCTTAGTGTTTGACTCTTAGTAAAACACTCACTGAATTATTATTATAAATATTAGTGAAAATATTACTTAACTGGCTACAATATTGGCTAATGGATAATAACCAGCCACCTTTCTGTAGATGTGTAGGTTGTTTGCTAAGAGTATCCCAGTAGTAAATTAAGACCTCTGAGCCTTGACTAAAACCACCACGTTCATGTACCAGCTCCATCTACCCTTAGGTAGTTGTTTAAATCTAGGTAATTGTTTAAACCTTGGGGCTTACTTCTAAGACTGAGCTTCTTACAATGTACAATTGGTATAATAAAAGTCCCCCAGAACTATTGTAAAGATTCAATAACATGTATATAACATACTACGCATAATTCTTGGCACATAGGAAACATTCAAACCATAGTTTCTACTATTTGTTTACATCTCAAATAATTTCTTAATAATAGTTGTTGTAATAGACTGAAAGAAGCCCTGGTGGCACAAGGCATAACTTTGACTGGTAAGTGAAAAATCAGTGGTTCAAATCTACCAGCTGCTCCATTATATAAAGATGAACAGCCTCATTCAATAAAGATTTACAGACTCAAAAACTTGAGGAGGGTCACCAAGAGTTAGAAGTGGATTTGGTTTGGTTATAGATTGAATCTTGTTCCCCAAAAGTTAGTTATACTGATATTCCAATGCCCATACCTACAAATATAATCCTGTTTGGATATACAAGAGTTTGGTTTTTTTATATTAACAAGGTCCTACTGGAGCACAATGAATGCTAAATTTAATCTCCTCTGAAGGGTATCTCATAAAAAGAACAAAACAGGCACAAAGAGAAAAGGCAGAGGGGAACAAACACCCAAACGTCACATGTATCTACAGGCACCAAAGGAAGGTCGAGAAACATCCAGTGCACCCAAAACTGAGACAAAGCTCTGCCACAGAGCTCAGAGAAAACGCCTAGCCTACCAATACACTGAATGTGGACCTACACCTTCCAAACTATAAACTTATTTTCTTAAATGGCTCATTTGTAGTATTTCTGCATAGCAGCACAAGATAAATACATGATAACACCCTGAATTCTTAAGTATGTGTAAAAGGAAACAAACAAAAAAAGTTAATGAAGCGGACCTGAAACTGTTAATCCCCTGAAAAACCTCCTTTCAAGGGTAGTGTCTGGGAACATGAGCTTCAGAATAGTTCTCACTACTTCCTGTAAGAATAGTTTACTGTGCTGAAATATTTGTACAAAGTGGTTTACAGTGACCACTTGCTTTCTGCCTAGGAGAAAGTTCTGGAGTTTAGGTCCATGCTAGGCAAAGGGAGCCTATAAGACAGCAGCCAAAAAACACTCTGGGCACTGAATGTCTAGCAAGGCCCTGACAAATGTTTCTCCCAGGTCTTGTTGCTGAAGGAATTAAGTGTCCTCTGTGGCTGCACTGGGAAGCTTAGGCTTGGTTTGCTCCAGACTTCGTCCCATGTGCTCTCTCCCTTCCCTGGTTGCTGCAATATGTACTGATAAACAGCACTGTTACCTGTTTTACCAAATCTACAAAGCATCAATTATTACAATTTACCAATGTCTGACATCTAACTTTAAGTTGTGCATTTTTCCCCCCCATTCATTCACTGTTTCACTTTTCTGCCCTCCCCACTCTCCCCCCTGGTACACTACCCTCTTGGAAAAGTAAAAGAAAAATTCTTTAATTGTTTTACAATCCCTCTCCCCAGGTCCACTCCACTATACATCCTTCGCTCCGGACTCCTGTCATGACAAAAATACCTAATAACTTATCCCTCTGAAATAGTTTTCTCCCTCATCTGTTTCAGCGCAGTGTACATTATTGGACCCATCCTTCTCAGTCTCCTCCCAACCCTGA